GATGGTGAACATCGATATACTTTTACAGCTTTTGGCTGAAAAAACAAATTAAGTTTTTAATCCGTGATATATCCATTTTGGAAAACGTCTTATAGTTGGAAGATGTCTTCTCATACATCGAAGGTTTCTTAATGTCTTTAGTAATTCCAATCTATAGGCAAGATTACACTATAGAAGCAAAAAGTATTTTAAAATCTTATCATTGACATGTGAAAAAACCAAAACGCAAATACTCACCAGATGTGTATGGACTGTGCTGAGATTAGTGTCCTTTAAACGCTTTTCAGCTCTCTTCATGGCCCACTTTTCATCCAACTCGTCTTGCTCGACTTTAGGTAGCTGTCTGGATACCTTTTGTAACTGTAACAAAAAATAGAGTATGAGTATACAAACCAAGTAACATAAAAATACAGTGTAATAAAAAACTTACTGCATCGAGGGTTATGAAACACATCAAATGTTTCTTGATCCATTCGTACAAGATCTTTTCTTTGACCAAATCAGGCATCTTGTGACATGTTTGTAAGAGGTTTTCAAGATCAAGCTGCGGTACACCACCTCCTTCTTCCACATCTTTTCGCAGGTCATCGATACTGATAGCAGCAACACGTTTCGTCATGGTTGTTCAGGTTACGAGTGATGGCGGTACTACAATGAAGTTTTCTTTTATATGATCGTATAAGAAAGGACTTCTGGGATAGGTATAGGGAGGGGGGTACCCCCCACCCCCTCTACCCATGTAAACAACATGTGACCCCTATTGTTTTTAGACATCCATATATAACGCAAAGTAGCGTCTCCTTAGTCACAAAAACAATGCCAGACCAAGACGGTGAGAAAGACGAGTCACTCGAATACGTTATTGTGAAAGAAGTCTTATTTTGTTTCGCGTGCATATCTGCCGGAGCTATCATTGGAACTTTGTTAGCCAAACTCACAGACCGCTGTTGAAGTTCAATGGAAGCACGTCAAATCGAAGCACGTCAGAGAAAATTACACGCACGCCTTCAATACGAGTTGAACTATATCACCCCTGGCGAAGCCTTTTTCTTGTGGGCCAATGGTGCTTTGAAGTATCGAGAGTTTAATGCCATCTTAACTTTCCGTGCCAAAGCAGATTTTGTCGAAGGCCAACCTTTTAAATTTGAAAAAGAATTGGACGACAGAGTGGCCAAATTTTACAAAGACTTACAAAGACAACCTGCCGAAGTATACGTACGTCATGCCAAACTACTGTGTCAAGCAGCGACAACGCGCCGCAGAAAGGAAACTAAAGAAGGAGACACGAAAGGAAACGAAGCAAAAGGTATCGAAACAGAAACTGTATGATAAATACGAAGAAGAATTTTTTCGTTATCATTCTTCTAGAGGTTTAAATGTACAACAATTAGGTTTTGAAGCGTCGGGTTGGACAGGTATGCGAGAAGTCATGGTAGTGTATCGTGTAAAACCAGGTCATAAAGATCCTTTTGCTGAGATTGTACCTCCAGATTGTAAAAAAGGTGGCGCGTTATTGTCGATTGATAATAGTACAGATCAAGTGTGTCGTAGATATGGTGTAAAAGATAGGAAAGAACGAGATAAAATCATGAACACTGGTTGTAAAGAACAAGATGATGATTTATTAGTTGCACATTTAACAACCGACGAACTCATACAATTTTTAGCTGCTTTAACGTTGAAATAAAGTGGTCAATTCACGTTTCATGTTGTGTGTTATGTCTCGGGAACCTACGATAGCGGTACGATTTTTGTGTAGTCTAGGTAAAACAAGGGGTGGTATAAATTTGGCTTGAGTATAATCATACCAATACCAACAGTTGTCTTCAGCTATGAATACATACAATGGTTTTTTAGCATTGATGGCTAATTGCACTGTCCACCCTGTTCCTCCTTGGAGAATAGTTTTTTCAGAGTTTTCAAAACGTCCTAAAGCTAAGACGAGATCTACACCGTAAATGATCCAATAATTTCTATGCAAGTACCCACTTTGAATGACACGTTCTGAAAGTTGACGTTTCAAAGTCTCGTTGGCTTGTAATAATTTACACCAGGCTTTTCTGTACATGTTTGGGGTAATGACGAGTGTAGACATGAGAGGAGGTTTTCTTGCTTGGGCTGAAGGTAGAATGACTTGTGTCGGTATTTTGTACTTTACAGCCAGATCTGCAGCAAATGTATCAACCCCTCTTGCACCACCACTGACTAGCATCATGATTGATTACACTCGACGACCACAGTCTCTTTCTCGTCTTTACAGTCTTCTTTTTTGTCGTTGTCTTTGTCTTCGTCGTTGCTCTCTTCCCACTCTAACGTGTCGTAATGAGTGTACAAACACTCAAGGAAAGACTGCCAAGCTTCCCACAATTTGAGCTCTCGTTCGCTTAGTATTAGCAAACAATTTTGTTTCTGTTTAGACTTGGGTCTTTCGTCACCCTCAATAGCCTCAATATAGGTAGAGATGTTGTAGTCTTTGAGATGTCTACCATCCAACACTTTACCACTGGCGTCTCGGTACGCTCTCCTTAGACAGTCGCTTGTAGCTTGATTTTTAGCAATCTCGATACACTCTTGTAGTCCACTTGTCACGTACTTTGGGTTATCGTAGAGACCGTCCATGCTACTGAGTGCTCGCTTGCTATTAGAAAAAAGTAAGAAAGTAGACCTGGTTTTATAGCTGTACCTAACAGATTTCTCCGCCTTCTCGTAAGAGTGACATTCGATTCATGGTTTGATTGTGACGTGTAAGCAATCTGTACCAATCGGGTGTAGATTTCTTTTGCAGAAACAATTCACCATAACTCACTACACAGACGAGATTATCGAATGCCCCATAAGTTTTCACGGTGTCGTGCTCGTGTTTGGGGGTGTTTCTGAAAGCTTTGTACGCATCTAAGACATCTTGACGCGTGATGCCGTTGGCTCTGTAAGCATCTCCCAGTGCAGTAAAGTCTCGCCATCTCGTGTAGAGATTTAACTGTTTGGCAGCTCCTGTAGGGGAAGGATAATGTTTAGCTTCATCATACAACATGTCGTCCAGGTCTTCGCAAAATCGATCGTACCGAGATGTACTCGATACATCGTTATACATTCGACTAGGGATCTCGTTCTTATGTTTGAAGACCAACTGTAAGAGTCTCAAAAAGAACCACAATTCACAGTATTCCTGCGCTCTACTGATAAATTTGTATCTGACATCGCTTTCGGGTATTCTGGGATGACAGTATCCTAAAATCGACTGTAAGACTTGACCAGGACGTAGCGTCTTGTTAAGACTCCATTCGTCAAATTTTCTGACTTCATGAGGACAGCAATACTCTTCATATGTAATGGTCTGCACAGCACCTGTTGCCATGATACAATAAAATAGTAAGAATATGTAAAATGTAGTAATGAAAAGTAAAGCTGTTTCAATACAGAGTTGATCCACGTCTATCATGAGTCGAAATGAGGTTTCTGTAAATGTAATGTTAGTTTATATGTCTTCATAATCGTCGTAACCAAACAATGAAGTATCTCCAGGTCCTTCACCGTCATCACTGTCGGCGTCGGCATCATCCTCATCATCGTACGTTTGTACGGGATCCCAACCCCTCGTTTCCCACGGTTCCCACGACCCCTCATCTTCTCGTAAACGCTCTAGTTCTGTCTTTCTCTTTTTCTTTTTGGGTGCTGCTGGTGCTTTACCTTTGCCTGGGGTGGTAAAACTCAATTTTTTCTGTATCTGCTTTCTTTTTTTTTTATTAGTACCAGAAGTTACAGGTGTGGCTGCCTGTTGAATGATATTAGTGAGATTACTCTCGGCAGCTGAAGTTTTAGCATTAATAGATTTGGCCACACCTTTGAGTACACGCTCCTGCAAACTATCAGCGTCCGCAGGTGTTGCCGTATTCACACTACCCACATCCGCAGCACTCTGGCGTAAATCTTTGATAGCTTTGCTACGTTCCCGAATCATTTGTTTGACTTGTTGTTCTTTTAAGGCTGGATCGATTTTAGTATCTTCTATGAGTATTCTAGCTTCTGCAGCCACTCTTGCAGCTTCATCTAATAGAGTACTCTCTGTGATATTTCCCTTGTAAAAATTTACTAAGGATTTGAATTCTTGAGGGCTTACCATCATGACAGGTTTAAAGGAAGTCATCGTCGCCGTCGATTGTAATGTCTACACGCGCAGTGATGCACTCCGCGAAGTCCTCTCCAAAACCCTGCACCGGTCTGATTCAGTAAAACTTCTCGCCGCTTTTTTAAAGAGTGTTTACGTTTCCCCAAGTCACGTATCGGTGCGGCGTATCTCGTGAGTTTTTTAAGTGCTGGTTTGGCGACGGGTATCTTATTTTTTAAAAAATTCATGGCCAACTCACTGACGCCATTGATATCATCTTTTTTAGCTTTGACTAATCTGTCCATACGTTTGTAACGGTTTTTTTCGTTTAAGAGAGATTTTAAAAATCCCAGTTTTTGTTTCCACACACCTTTCATTGTTGAATGACAACTGCCAACTATAGTACTTATCTCCTCTTCCTCATTCTTAAAGCTAACGCTGCCAAGAACGGAACAATACCACCGTTTTGAGTGCGTCGTCTACGTTTTACACCGCCACGCCTCGGTCTGCGGCCCTTTCTCTTTCGTTTTGGAGGGTTTAAGCCTAATTTCTGAGAGATTTTGTTGACGCCATACTTGCCTGTTTCTATGGCGGCGTTGGTGGCTAGGTCTTTGACTGAGGGTGCCACGGCTTTCGCCAAATCTCCCATAATACCTCTTCCTCGTTGCCGAGGCATCTTGTTTTCTTCGTTGTCTTAGAGACTCTACGTATCGCGACTTTAGATCTTTATTGTATCGTAGCGCCGGTTGTATGGACGAATTTAACGCGATGATATTCTCATATAATGTATCCGCTTTATTCAGTTTACACAATTCTCCTAATACAATACCAAAAGGTTTATACACAGCTACGGGATCGATGCGAGGATTTCCAGTGAGTCTTGGCATGGTGTTTTTTACGTCGAAGAATACGATGAATTGCGAGACACTTGAGGTCTACGGCCGTCTTTATAAGTGGTCGTGATCGTATTCGTCGTCGTAATGCCTGCGATTTGTCTACCCTGCGCCGCTTGACGCGTATCGTTTAATAATACACCCAATCTCTGCTGTAAATTTTGAATCTGTCTTCGTCTTCTACTCCCTCCAGGCGTTCTATCCGTATCGTCTGTATCATCTCCACTTCCTCCTCCTCCTCCGCCTCCACCTCCGCCTCCTCCTCCGCCTCCTCCGCCGCCGCCTCCTCTGCCTCTTCTCCCACTTCCTCCGCTACTCCTCCTACTACTCTGACTCACGCTTCTACTCCGACTCCGTCTTCGACTTGGCCCTGCCGCCCCTGCCGCACTCGGGGGTCTCATTCGTCCTGAAGGTCCTGCGGGACTTTTACCTCTTCGTCTCGCTCGTGTCGCCACCGCAGGACTAGCCACAGGTGTCACCGTGCCAGGCGTTCCATCAGGACCTCCCACGACTGAGAGTCTACTACTCGTTCTAGGTGGTGGTACCGGTGCGCTACCCACACCTACACCTAAGTTTGAAAGTGCAGACGACCCGCGAAAGGCGTCTTCCCATGATGCATTGCTTCCACCAGACGGCGTATGCAGTAAATCGTCTAAAGTCCAATTAGAAATTTGTATGGGGCTAGGGCTTCGCATGTTTTGTAAATCTTCTCTAGAAGTCACGTTATAATCCATTTTCCTTATCTTCCTTTCTGTAGACTCGTATGCACCCTTCGTGCTTTAGCAAATTACAAAGTAAACGATTGTCATCCGTCGTTTTTGGATGTAAGTCAAAAACGCAATAACCCCACATCTTACCGGTCACGGTGTTATATACATCTTCCAAGACCTGTTTCCAAAGACGTGGATACATCTGTAACAAGAACGAGCGTATACCCGTCTTATCGCGAGGGTTTTTAAACACGATGAAATACTGCGCGTTTCTCGAAATGGTCGTGGCATATTTACCCTTTGGAAATAAATCTTGACATAGATAAAAGGTGACAAGATTCATGTGATGGGAATGGTGCGTAAAAATCTTAAGTACGGTCTTGTCCTCTCCACCGTCCGCCATCAAATCGTCCATGATGAGTACACCACCTTGTGGTACCTTTCCAAACCATGTATCGAGATCGTCTTTTGAGGGAACCCCTTCTTTAAATTCTACCCCACATTTTTTTAACACTTCGAAGGTAGGTTGCCACGAGCCGTAGCAATACACTACTTTACGTGGGGTCACTTCAAACAATTCCAAGTTTTCTGTGAGTAATTGTTTCATAAATGTGGTCTTACCACAATTAGAGGGTCCGACCACTAAGATACTAGCGGGAGATTTGATCTTAAACTCTTGCTGGCAGATGCTACTCGTCATGATGAATAAAAAATGATACACTACACGTTTATTGCAACTCTTTTATTTCGTTGTTGACAAATTCTTCTAATACTTCACCAATGACATCGTCGTTTCCTACATAATCTGTTTTTGAAAAATGAGATAAAAAATCATCCAACGAGTGACCTCTAGCTTTAAACATCAAATAGACTAATGCATAATCTCCACAACTAGCCGTTCGTATCGATTGAATGGTCTGCTTGTTTCGCTTGACATGATTCCACTGATTCAACCACACCAGTAAGGGTGCAATGTCAGTAAACGTCGTCAACGGTACCCCGTAACTATCCATGATTTCGCACGTATCGTTTTCGGTCCAAATACCCAACCAATGTTGTCCGGGTAAATTAGACGGATCCGTGTTGACGATGTAGGCTTGAGGTTCTATGCGTTCCGGCTGTAAGGGTAACTCGTCACAACCCATCGTACCTTTAAAATAAGGCTTTAATTTTTCGTCCCCGTCACCCAACACGTTGAGGTGATCCGTCGTCAACCACACGTACTCCATCTTGTTTTATCGTCTCGATCTATAATGTTTCACGTTGTCCACGATTCCTTTGAATGCTTGTTTCCCCAAGAGTCCAGCTAATGAACTAAACCCCGGTGCAGGACCAGACAAAAGCATACTCGCACCATACGCTATTTTATCTTGCAGTGAAGGACCCCTTCGGCGTGCTACAGCACCCCCACGCTGACGCCGTTTTCTTTTACGTCTTACGCAAGCACATTTACGTCTACGCGTGACCATGTTTTCATATCGAATAATAAAGCTCGTGCTCGTGTATCCGCTTTATTGGATACAACATGGATCGGGACGTATGACAGTCTTGGTCTTTCGAGACCAGTCACCCTTTGACAGGGTGCCTCCACCACTTCGATACTTGGCATATTTCCTATTAAATTCAGCTTCTTTCTTTCTCATACTTTCTGAGATCGGTCTTCCTTTAGCAATGTTATACAACATCATTGCACCTTTGGGTATAGCAGTTAATCTATTTGTTAAAATAGAACTTTCGATTCCCCGACCTTTTTGCGACTTACGCTTTCGACTTCGTACGGGTCTTCTTTGTTTTCGTCTCCCCATGATTGAAATGATCTCTCTTTCCTATGTCACCACCTTTTCAAACATTCATGAACGTGATGGACTTGGCACTGTTAATTTTTACCACGGATTCGTATTCGGCCATGATGATGATGGTCTTGGCACTTGTTTGGGCTGCACATTTGATGTGTAGGTCAATGTGTGCTGTAGGTTTGGGTAAAAGTACGGGTCGATCATGCTTTCCACTGGGAACGTTTGAAAACATGAAGAGGGTGGCATTTTTACCGTATCCCCAATCCGCAAATCGAATCATGTTGGGACTACCTCGGTCCAGACATCCCGAAGCTTCCAAAAACCTAAAGTATCCTCGTCTGTCATTTCTCCCATTGCCTGTATTCAATTCTAGGGTCTCGTAAGGGTATTCTTCTCCATTGACAATCTGCTTGATGTACTCTACACCCGAAGGCGAATACGCATACATGTCTTCGTCTGCATCTCCATTAAAGGCTGTCTGTTTGACAATGGCAATAATGTATCGCTGGGGTACTCGGTTCGAGAAGGGGTTATTGATCTGCTTGTAGGTCGCTCCGTTATCCAGGGGATACTGTCTAATCTCAGATCGTACCAGGGGGTACAATGCCAGATTTGTTTCTAATTTTTTGGCCATTCCTACAAACACGCCAGGGTTTGTTTTGACCAAACACATGTGAAATGTGACCTTCACATCTTCTGCCGTGGGGTCTCTCACCGCATCATTGGCAATGGTGTTGGTAAACAAAGTGGCAGCGTTCAACCAGAATTGAAATTGAAAACTAGTGTTGGGTACCACCCATCTTCCTTGGTAAAACAGGGGATCGTAGGGTTTCATGATCAAAATTTGCCTCTTTCCACCACTCCATAAGTCTCGGGTCTCTTTTTTCTGAGCCTGTACGGCTGCCTTGTGATTGTCGGACAATGCTTTGTAATCATTATGAGCCCCAGATCCATCCGCAGCTGGACCTTTGACATTGTTGGCCGTGTAGGTCACGGGAACGTCGATCTCACCCCTGAATAGTCCATTCGTAGCATTTAGAATCGTGTCTATATCTTCCCTACTGTAACCCAGTAAGGTCATGATATGAGCTTTGTGATGATACATGTCAATTTGCTCGGTCATTAACGTGCCATTACATTTCGCCAAGAATTGTTTGATCATGCAATGGGGCATGTTATTGGCAAAAGCTGTCATGGTGGCATCGTTGCTTTCACTGGTACCCGATGCAATATTTGCATCAGCAGTCGTTTTGAATCGACAATCCCATTCGAAATAAGACCGGTCCAAATCGATATAATCTGCCTGTTTTTCTATATCAAATTGAATCGGTGTCGTACTGGCTGTCGTGGGTGATATTTTTACCCATCTCACACCCTGGGTCGTATAATCTGTAGGAGGCACTCTAAAAATATCCAAACTTTCGTTTGCCGTTGCCATAACGATGTCGTCTCTCTAACGTCTTCTTCGTGTAGAATGACGATACGTTTTCGCTCTAGGTTTTTTATACACCATGCGGCGTCGCCGTTTTCTTATACCACTACCTCGCTGAGGTCGTCGTCGCCGCCGTTGACTAATGGCTTGACTTAATACAGAATCTACATTATTTTGAGACGTTCCCACACCTATGCGTGGTTGCGTAGGATGAATCATGCTGACACGGCTAGACATTATTGTAATCCAAAGATATCGTTAATACCTTTCCTGGCACGCTTCCGTATCTCTCTACCGGCAGCTTGTTTGGCACTTCTTTTAATACCTCTTCCCAATTCTGATAGGTTTTTCTTTTGCCACGCTGTTTTAACGCTTTTCTTTACTCCAGATTTGAAATCCTTAAACATGTCACCCATACCCGCACCACGCTGCAAAGCTATTTGATTCCAGGTTCCATTAAAGGGGGGTGACGAGTGTGCAAATCGATACAATGTTCCCCCTTTCTGAGATTTATGGGGTAACATATCGTACACTTTAAACCGTTTCAAAGATCCACCACGCATTGTAGTATACCGTTTCTACACACAAATGATTGCATTTTATTACTTCACATCACTTTTATAAACCCAACTATTGTACTTAGAAGGATAACCTTTCCATTTTACATACAGCTTATCTTTGGTACGTTTTAAAACTTTCTCTACACGAAATAAATCTTCTACTAAATCTACATCTACTTTCTGTAAATCACGCGCGTAAAAAGCACCCTGAATGGGTGTGCCATCTAATTCTTTTACCTTATACATGATCATTTGAAAACTAGGTACGTACAGCGATACGATAAACAATTCTTCTGTCCAACCCTGCATGTAACCTTTCTTAAAATTACGAGCCACTTTACTCAGACGAACATAATCTCCAATCTTAAATTTAGGTCTAGGAGGTTTGGTCTTCTTGTCTGCTTTAGGTAGATGCTTGTCGTATAATTTGTACCATACCTCTTTGACATTGGAATCATCTACTTTTACTGGTGCTCTACCAATACTACGGTGATACGTGTGATTATACTGATTTATGATCGATTGAATGACGTCTAAAAACTTGTAACTGTTACTAGCTGTAAAGTAACGGTACAATTTGGTCTTAAAAGTACGATTCCATCGTTCGATGACACTACCTTTGGCATCACCTTGCGTAGAAAAATGATGAATACCTTCTTTCTTAAGTAAAGCTTTAAAAGAACTATTATAAAATTCTTTTCCCTTGTCTGTCTGTAGTCGAATGGGTGTCGTGTGCCCTTGCTTACTGGCACGTTTCAAAATAGTCGTAAAGGCTTTCGTCACTTCGGGACCCGTCTTACGTTTCACAGGCTCCGCCCACGCAAATTTGGATAAGACATCAATCACTGTCAAAATAAATTTGTATCCTTTGTTTTGTTTCGATATCTTTTGTACCTCCACCAAATCTGCCACCCACTGTTCATCTTTATCAAATACCAATACGGGGCGAAAGGCACCACGTCTACGTACGGGTTTGTGGAGAGTATAGGCAATATTCTTTTCCAATTCTCTCCTCGCTTTACTTAAGGATATCTTATTTCCTTTGGCATACGCTGCCACACCCCCAAGACTACCTAACTGTAAGGGATCTTCATACTTGGATGTTTCTAACTTGGCTTTCTTCATCGTACCCTTCTGAAATGAACTGTGACTGTGGTCGTACCGTCGTGAAATCTAGCCAATCTGTTTTCGTCTACTTCACTGATTTGAGTCTCCACAATGTCAAAATTGTTGGTTCGCACATTCACGTAATGAATGTTATGAGGTTCATACAACGTACCTCCTTTTAAAGTGGGTTTGTATTCCACGTGTCGTAGTAAATCCGTCGTATCTGAACCCATTATCTGTGGTTCGCACAGGGACGAATACACGTACAGACTGCGAGGTTCGTCACCTCTCGTGTGACTTTGTTGTTTCAAATTATGAAACGTCCACTTTAAATCGGTTCTAAATTCTATTCCACCTCCTGGAAACACATT